ATCCTACGATATTTAAACAGTTTATTATAAATTTTAATAAGTTAATAAAATTATATGCTGTTAACCAACCAGCTTCAAGAATTAAGTCTCCTGATCGTTTATCATGGTGCAATAGCGGCATTAAAGGAAAGCTATTGGCTTGGTTTGTTGGTGTGAATACAGTATGCGGAGCTACTTTACTTGCTGCATCGAGAAAGTCTCTTTTATCCGTTCCAGGATCGCCTTTTACGTGTATTAAATGAAAACATCATAATAAAATTATTAGATTGCAAATTGCATTTCAACACTTGATACTAACCAACAATTAAGACATTAATTGTACTATCATCAGTTCCACCAAATATAGCTAATAAGATTCCAGCTACGATAATAGTATAAATTAGTAAGCACTGCACTGGCAAATTCTTATGATAAATGATTATTTACCCTTAACAATCTCGTGTCCGTAAACATTCGGACAAAATGAATTAACTATTCGCTGTTATATGAAGGATTGAACATTATTAAATTTATCCTTGTTTTCAATAGTTTTATGTTTTCGAATTTCAAAAATACCTTGAAAAGGTCATCGGATTGAAAGTCAATGACATGTTTTATTTTGAACAAATCGGACAGCGAAAAATATGTGTCCTCCGGGTTCGTAAGATTTTCGCGACAATCACGTGAAAATATTTCAAAGATCAAGATTTTCTTAATTTCAGTAGCGTCAATATAAAGATTGTGCATCATGGAACCCTTCGCTTTTTCATTAATTGACAAATGAACCAAATTGTATCAACCATAGAGCAATACTAGGTCTAGATGAAAGTTATGTTACCTGGAATTTCAAGAACTTCTAGTTTGCCAGTAACGGAAACAAAGTCACCTGGTTTGACAGTATCTACCAATTCGTCACGTAATTCACAATCAATGGTCATTGGAAGTGTAGCAGCTTCACCGTAACCATCCCATACTTCTTGAAGCCTTTACATTCAATGAATAAATTTACATCCAGCAATTTTTATTCATTCGAAAGTAGTGAAATTTTCAATTAAAGTCATAGTAATTCCAAATTAAAACTTTTGACAAAACGCAGTATTT